GCGTTACTACGCCTTTATTCGCGTTACTACGCCATTTGATTTGCGTTAAAATGCCTTTATTCGCATTATCACGCCTTTTGGTTCACTTTATAACGCCTTTATTCGCGTTATTACCCTTTTTGATTCGCGTTATAACGCCTTTATTTACGTTATTACGCCCTTTGCTTCGCGTAATATTGCCTTTATTCGCGTTATAACGCCTTTGCATTTTTATTTTTTTAAATTTATTTGACACTATTAGGCTTTCGTAAATATGACTTGACTACGGTGGCATATTTCTGCCAACAGTTAACTATATAATTATGGCGTTGACAATATTACTAACTACTTAGTTTTTGTGTTAACGCGATAAATAACATACATTTATCAGACTTACTAGATATTTATTCTCTTAGATAGATAAATAACGAATAAGTACACTAAAAAGTGCACAGAACTGTCAACACTTCTGATAAATGTTTATTTTTTTTTGTAGAAAGCTTTTTTATGTTTTATCAGGATTATCATAAAAATTGATGATGATATTCTAACTTTATCTATGTTAAATTTCGCCCAAGCTACATGTATTCAGTTGAATAAAAATAATAACGATAATAATAATGATAATAATAATAATGATGATAATAATAATAATAATAATAATAACAATAATAATAATGATAGTTCTAAAGTAATTCAACATTAAAAACGACAGCTTTGATGCATAATTGTGCTGGTCTTGATTGAATACAATGTGGTGCATGGAAGTGTCACTTCCCCTTACAATTAGCGTATATTTACAAGCGCTTAAAAGTAAAAAAGTAATGGTATAACATCAATGATGGTTATCAATATATAAACTATGATATTAACATTAACACTTAATCTACTAAATAAATAATCGATAAGTATATTGTGTCTTAGAAACAAATGTACACGCATGGGATAGTATCGCGACGACATAATAATCACACGGCTAATGATAATCAATCATACGTACGTTTTGGTACTCAATCAAACATACCTGAATGATATATCAATCTTTGCCTAAATGAATTCTGCATGTAATAGTATATTACTTTTGGGAATACCATTACTTTCCAACACACGAAATCATCTTGAAAACATATATTGCAGGGAATTCAAAACAAAAATAACATCACCAGTCCTTTCATATTCATGAATAATCATATTTTGTTTATTTTTTTGTTTCATCATACCCAAACATGAGATGCAGACAAGAAAAATATCTCTTTAAAAGATTAGTATGATGATCCATCAAACAGATTCAATATTTTAATGTAACAAAAGCTACAATAGTACCCGACAACAGTTAAAAATAAATAAAACTTGAGGTGTTGTTCAGTAAAGTAGGTAGCATTTAGTTTCGATTTGTAACAAAAATAGTATTTGTCCGTGCTCTAACATTTCGAAAAATACCCGTGAGGAGTCATAATATAAAAGGTATGTATTTGATAAGCCCGGTGGCTTCTGCAGATCCACGACAAAATACATGGGCGCTATTCTTGCATAAAAATATAGATCTGCTTTTGGTAATTATGCGTTTCTTTATTTGATTTACGTAAACAAAAATTGCAAACGTTTTTCAGATGGTACTGCGTGAAAAGTTGACGATAATGTTTGATGAAACTATCGGGGCTGTCATTATACTAAGCTATTTTACATTGCGCCCCGAGTCGTGAAAATAGAAAAACGTGCAACGACGGCGCATGAACGCATCATTTTATTCGCTAATGCATGCTTTTCTCTCTCTCTGCGTGTGCTGTTTTTATGCCAGAATGTATAGTAAGACCTTTAAGATTCACTTTTACTTTTTCATTGAATATCAGATAATTTGGATAATGTAGTGTTGGCTGTAATTCAAAATACTTCTTTGTAAATAAATGCATTTTTCTTCTTCTAAATAAAAAATACATCTCGATATTGTAATGATTTGACATATACTGTTTTATTTCTGTTTTATATGTGTGTATATGAATAGACACAACTATAATTAAGAATTGAATTATTACTGTAACATATTATGATCCGGCCAATATTAATTTAAAATTTCAACACTCTTGGTGCCTTGTTAGTCTAACAAAATAAACACATCCATTATAAGGAAAATAATAATGTTTTTGTTCTTTAAACAAAATGAGAAAAAGCAGGTATGTACGGTGTTCCATTTGGACAATCGTGATTTTTAATTTCATCCTTACCGATATACACGATGATACGAGGGTGAAAACTCGTTGGTACGAGGGTGAAAACATGATGTACCGATAACACGATGATGAAAACTCAATGGTATGATTAAGAAATCATATATCCCAAACAGTGATTTTATCGCTCAATAACATCACTGTTTGGAGTTTGGATGCAGGAATTATATCTTTGGAGTTATCCACCTTTGAAGTTTTTCAAATCGATGTCTCAAATATTCTTTGAGAAATAAATATTTAAAACATGAAAAATAATAAAAGGTTATCAGTCAGAAAAAAGGTTATGCACTGCACATGCTATACATATAAAGTTTCAAATTGATGTCTAAACACAGCAAAAGAAAGAAGGCAAACAAAAGCATTTATTAAATAGTCTTTACAGGTTTGTGACACAAATGAAAATATACAGATAACAGGTTTTATTATCCATAACTTGAAATAAATGGTTAGTATCTAAAACTTGTTTTTACTATGCCGTATCAGAATCTAACAATTTTCTAAAGGCGATGATATAACAACGTGTTTTCACTATCGTACCATATTGACATCACAATTTCACTATCGTACCATCGCATTTTCACCATCGTGGCACCACGTTTTTTTGCGATTTCATCATCGTGCAATCGCGTTTTCATCGCAGTGGCATCGCATTTACACCATCGTTGCATCGCGTTTTCACCATCGTGCCATCGTGTTTCTATCATTGTGTTATAGAACCATCGCGCTTTCATCATCGTACCATCGTACATTGCGGGTAAGGACGAAAAGAAAATCACGATTGTCAAAACGGAGCACAGTTGGTATGTGATTGTTTAGCTTGATAGTTTAGCATACAGGGGAGATATCAAGATTTGAATTTTAAACCCTTTATTTAGGCTATTTACCTCCCTTTGACCATTGATACTTGACGCACGTGCCGTGCTGCAACTATATTGATTTTGTTAAATTTGTGTTTACTACAAATGATTAGTCACAATGTGACAATGTGAGTCTTAGTGATCACAATTCATTTGGCGTCGGTTCGTCCGTCGTTCGTCCGTTCGTAACCTTTCCTTTAAACGACATCTCTTCATTAACCGCTAAGTCAAGTTCATCTAATCTTTACAGCAATGCTCCTTTTGTGGTCACCTTTAGAATTGTTCTTATGCAGACGTCTGGTTGCCATGGTAACGGAATGATTTTTTTTAAAGAACCCAAATAGCTAATGCTTAGATATTTGGCATGAAACATCTTTTTGTCAGTGTCTACCAAGTTTGTTCTAAAAGCACTAGGGTCAAAATTGTCCCATTCTGGGGTTCATTGATTTTCCTTATAAATTATGTATATAGTAAAAACTTAAAAACACTTCTTTAAAAAAACAAATTGTACTAGCTAAAATATTAGGCATGTCAAGTTTGTTGAAATAAAAGCCCTGGGTCGAAATTGGCCACTCCCCGGGGGTCATTGATTTCCTTATATGTATATAGTAAAACAGTAGAAATTTTCTCAAAAAAACAACCCAAAAACCCCAAAGAGCTAGAGCTTAGCTATTATGCTTGAAACATCATCCAACGGGTATCTACCAAGTTTGTTCATATAAAGCCCTGGTTTAAAAGTGGCCCCACCCCCGACGGAGGGTCATTGATTTTCTTTATTTGTTTGAAGTAAAAACAAAAACAAAAATCTTCTTTTAAACAAAAACAAAGAGTTAGGGCTAAGATATAAAGCATGAACAAACTTCTAATGGGTGTCTCCCTGGGGTCTAAAATCGCCCCGCCTCAGAGGGTCATACATTTTCCTTTTATCTATATAGTAAAAACAAACAAAAAATCTTCTTTAACAAAACCAAAATAGCTAGAGCTTAGATATTAAGCAAATAACATCTTCTAATAAGTGTCTACGAAGTTTGTTCAGATGAAAGCCATGGGGTCAAAATTTCATCGTCATTGATTTCCCAAATATGTGTATATTTAGAAAAAAAATCTACTTTGAAAAAGCCCAAAGAGCTTAAGCTTAGATGAAACATCTTCTAACGTTAGTCTACCAAGTTTGTTCAAATAAAAGCTCTGTTGTCAAAATTTGCCCCACTTCAGTGGGCCGATTATTTCCTTTATATATATATATAGTAAAAGCAAAAAAAAAACAACTTTTAAACCAACCAAAGAATCTAGAGCTTAGATAGTATGCATGAATCATCTAACAGGTGTCTAACAATTGGTTCAAATAAAAGCCCTTGAACCAAAATTGGCCCCGCCCCGGGAAGGGTCATAAATTTTCTATGTCTATAGTAAAAACTTTAAAAAATCTTCTATAAAAAACCAAAATAGTTAGAGCTTAGATTTTAGGTTGCCAAGTTTTTTTTAAAAAAAACCATTGGGTCAAAATTTGCCCCACCCCTTGGGTTATTGATGTTCCTTATATGTAAATAGTAAAAAAAAAAATCTTTTTAAAAAAAAACAACAAACAAATAGCTAGAGCTTAGATATTAAGCATGAAACATCTTCTATTAAAAATACCACATAGCTTTAACTTAGACATTAGCATGAGAAATATTCTAGTAATTGATTTCATATTTGTTCAAATAAAAGCCCGATGGTCAAAATTAGCTGAAAATTGTTGAAAACTTAATAAAATAACTTTTTTACTTATTATTTCGTTTGTTGAATAATTTTTATATCTTTGCAACAGAAAGGTGCGAAATCAAACAACGTTAAATCGACAGCGGTAATTATTTCCGCTTGAAAAAAATGATCTTCCTTATTTTATCTTGTTGGAAACAAAATGATATCGGTCCGAGTGGTGCTTATCGGCTATTTAACACCGCTTTTGTCGTTTTGATGCGAAATTATTAACCACTCAGGCCTACGGCCCTCGTGGTCAATTCTTACGAATCAAAACTCCAAACAGGTTTAAAATAGTCGATAAAAACCGTTAAGACCGATATTATTTCTTAATTCGAACACTCCTAGTGACTTTGCTACTATGGACAAAGAAGAAAAAAACGAGTGTTAAACTGCCAATAAATACTAGTTAGGGACTACTTGTATATGCGGCTGTTATGTTTTCTCCCTCGATTATATAGTTTACAAAGCTCTTTAAGTAACAATAGCAAGAATGCATTTGTGAAAAAAATGCTATGCCCCCGCATTAATTTAACAGAAGTAGATTTCTTGTTACTTTACAATTGAACTTTGCCATAATGTAGTAGTTCTTCCTCTGATTTGTTTGTCTTCACAAATTAGAAAAACCGAGCGTTGTCCACACTAGACAGTTATTCTTATGCTTGTATGACATTGTTTTTATTGTAGGACGCAGATTTATTGCTTGATCCAAATGACGCTTACATTTTCAATGAGGCTTTAAAGAAAGGGTTCGGGAAAGACAGATTCGTGAGAATAAATGTTGTTGGTAACTATGAACAAGGCAAAACTAGTCTGACGAGAAGGCTTTTGAATCAATCTTTGGAAGGCGTTGAAAGCACAGATGGCATTGATGTTCATGTGCGGAAATGTAAAATTAAAGATAAAAAATGGGTAAGCTCGCAAACAGAATTTGATGAAAACGACTTCCTAGAAAATTTAGCTGAAGGGACTATTCGCACAACAGAAATCACAGAAAATGAAACTGATAAATCTGATCATGCAGAAAGTAAATTAAAGCAAAACAGCATGCCCTTTGATGAAAGAAACACAGAAGAAACAGTCACGGATGTGATTTCAAATAAAAAGTCCATTGCAGATGACCCTCATAGTGCCGAGTCTGAAACCTTTAAATCAATCTCCAGTTTTATTGGAACTGGTGAAAATACAAGTAATGAAGCAAACTTTCAAGCAAGTTTTATAAGAAAATATTCAAGTCAATTAATAGAAAAAATGACTATGCCTTTGGATGAAACATTAACCGCAAACATTTGGGACTTCGGTGGACAGTTCATTTATTACGCCACACACCAGATATTTCATTCAAAGGACGCTATCTATCTTTTGGTATTCAGTTTGGCGACAGACCTAAATGAAGCTGTCATGGATAAGGAATTTCCCGACAGGAAGTCAACAATGGGCGACTGTCTAAAGTTCTGGCTTGATTCCATTCATGCATATGCTGGGTCAGAAGAAGGTGGGACTTCGGAACATGTGTCAAAACCATTTGTTATATTAGTAGGAACATTTAAAGACCTTTTTAAGGGCAATTCAGAAAATAAGTTTGATGAAGTTTTGGATTTATTTGTGAATGATTCAGCTAGGCGTCACCTGTTGCGGGAACAATATGCCGTTTCTAACACAAATATTTCAGATGATGAATTCCAAAAATTGAAGGCTAAAATTTTTGAGCTAGGGAAGAAACATGCTGAAGAAAACCCAGTTCCATTGAAATGGATTCCGCTCAAGATAGCTTTATTATCAGAAAAAGGTAAAAACATCATAACAATTGAGGAAGTCAAGAGGCTGAATACAGAAAATGAGAATCTAGTTGAGAAAGAAGAATTAAAAACATTTTTGAAATATCTGCATCTTAAGGGTATTCTTATCTTCTTTGACGAAGAATACCTTGAAGGCCACATTGTTGTTAACCCGCAATATTTAGTTGACGCATTCAGATGCGTTATTGGGTCAAAGGCATGTATAAAAGATGCAAAGTTGCATCCTCAATGGAAACGTTTGAATGAAACTGCAATCTTAGAAAATGATTTTCTAGAGGCTATGTGGGAGAAAGATGTAGGAAAAGACTTTCTAAAAAACAAAGAGGTCTTGTTGATGTTCCTACAAAGACATAGGATATTGTCTAAACTTTTTATTATGGATGAAGCAGGAAACAAAATCTATCAAGAAAAGTACATGATTCCGAGCCTTTTGAAACACCGTTGTGAGCAACATCAATTAAAGATGTTCACAGATGGTAAGAATGCAACACTTGTATCACTAGGTTTTCAAATAGAGAATACTGCTTTGCTGACAAGTCTGTTCGAAAGAGTAACTGCAGGTGTTTTAGGAAAATGGTCCCCAGTTGTGAAAGATAAACGAGTATTTGTATTTCAAAACATTGGCCATTTTAGATTAGACCTTGAACATGTTGGGAAAGTGGAGTTGAAGCCGGGAAAAGGTATTCAGCTTACCGTTATAAACCAGTGTCCAGGAATCAAAGTGGAAAGCAAAGTTTGTGATTATTTCAGGAGATACATTGAAAGCCTTATCAAACATGATTTTCAAAAACATAGGAATCGTTTGTACAATAGCAACCCTTACAAACATTACTTGGCATGCAGTGATCGGTCACATGGCGGAGATAGTAGCAGGGATACATACGGTATAGACGAGGTGGGGGACAAAGAAAGAGCGCACTGTCCAGATTACGGAGAACATTTCATTGAATGTAGATCTGCGATTGATGAATGGTTCTCGCCAGGCAAACTAACGGAACTGTACCGTACTGCAGATCGACGAGTAACCGAACCTGAACTCAGTAGGTTAGCAGGGTGTATTGGGAATAACTGGGAACTTCTTGGTACAGCTCTTGGTGTTCGTCGCGTTGACATAGACCATCTTAAGGAAAGTTATAAAGACCAGACTCCAACCTGCATTTTCAGGATGCTCTGCATCTGGGAACAATCAAAACAGGAAGATGCCACATTGATGCAGTTGGTTACCTGCATAGAAGACAATCCAGTTGTGAATGTCGACAAGGACATGATTAAAAACATAATAGAGGGGAATTAGATTCCACCCCTAGAAGAAATTTTGAAAAGATAAAAAGTTAATGATTAGTAAACAATTACAGAATGTACTTACTTTTGCGAGTTGACATTTCTTAATAGGTTTGAAAAGACATTCTGAATATATATGCTTACATGACACATGATGTAGGTCAAGTATATTTCTGAATGAAAGTTCCCATTTATTCAACTCCTCACAACATTGATTCCTGATAATGAAACCGTGTTATAAACTAAGCTCGTGTGATTTTATGTTGGATTTGTTTACCAAAGCAACACTCAAAGTGATGAAAGCGTTGTTGAAACAGCGATGTAATTTCGATTTAAAAAACACGTATCGGCACTAGGGGATAAATATCAGAATCGATGGATGTAAAAAGCTTTGCTTTCGTGATAAGTATACAAAAGTTTCAGGTCAATTTCATTTCATATATAATTAAGAAATTATGAACAGACATAGCCTTCGATTTAAAAACAATTTGTTGTCATACTTCTTTAATGTGTAATTTCCATGACAAACAAATAGAGTATACTATGAAGATTGGAGTAGAGCAGGATTCAGGATTATAACAAAGTAAGCAATATTGAGATGAAAGTACATGTATGTCAGAAGCTTTTGCTTCATTCCATTCAAGCATATCCTGGGTCAGAGTAAGAAGGTTAATTTTTTACGAATATAACGAAGCTCAATGTTATTCAAGTAGATATATTTAAAGATAAGATGAAAGGCAATTGAAAATAGTAATTGTATGATGCTTTTGCTATTTCTGTTGATGATTTGTCAGCTAGGAGACAAATGTTGCCTGTAAAATATTTGTTTCTATCACAGAAATGTCAGATAATATAATACGAAAATGGAAGGGAAAAAAATATGTAGTCTGAATCGACCATGCAGAAAGGAGCCAAGTCCGGTGAAATGGATACCGCTCGAGATAGGTATAATAGCATGAAAACAAATCAAAACATCGTAACATTTGAGGAAGTCAAAAGTCTGAAGAAAACGGGAACCGAGATGAAGAAGCAGAAGTGATTTTTTAAATATATCCACATGCATTGGTTTGAATTATTGAGGATTTAAGTTTCAAAATATGTACCTTAAAATCTTTATAAAAAGAATAATTTTCAAGTGAATGTTTCGATGTGGATTTTTACTTTAAGCAGGGTAGCATTTTTTACATATTCCTTGTAAAAAATCTCTTTTGTAATGTACGAATGCATGTTTTACGATGCCCCTCAAGATTATATCCCTAATCTGTTGTGTAAATACTGTTGACAGTTTTTTTTTCTAATTCAAATATTCCCAGTAATGCTGAAGAGTATGTTGAAATTTGAAGTATCATTCATATATTCGATATTTCCCTAACAATGTTTTGTAGTTTGAGGACGTTTTCGGGAGTTTTCATATAGACGTGAAATCTGTTTAATAGAATTTCTTTAAACTTTGCATGATGTTAGAATATGATAAAAGAAACATTTTAAGCGATTAAGCGAAAAAAAATTGGGGTCACCGTTACGTTTTTAAGTTATTTGCCCCTGAATCATACTTTTCTACTTATTTGAGGTTATTTCAAGAGCAGATAACTTATACTACATAAATGAATTCTTGTTTTTACTTCTGGATTATGTTTTTCTTTTCATTGTTGAGTACAATACATAATAACAAGCAATTCCTTACATCGTTTCTGTTTTTTTTTTCAATGAACGTAAAAGTACTTTAAATTCTTGAAAATAGGCCATTTTTTAAAGAAAAATGCATAGGTTGAAAGAAGAAGTGGGACTATAAAAACTACCCACTCTAAATTTGTTCTTGAAATTTTGTGTATGAACAAAAACAAAGGTAAGCTTCATGGAAATAAGAAAATAATGTATTGTTTCCCTTCATTGTAAATTATCTGCCCTTGAATTTAACAAAGAAGTCCAATTCAAGGGCAGATAACTCAAAAACGAGAATGATGACTCCATTTTTTTTTCGCTTAAAATGTTTCTGATATCATAATCTAACAACATGCCAAGTTAAAAGAAATTCTATTGAATAGTTTTAATTTTGACTATATGTCTATATGAAAACTCCCGAAAACGTCTTTAAAGTAACGACCTTTGTATGTTTGTCCTTATTAATGTTGTGTATTAAGAACTTTGCATGACATACAATAAGTTAACGTTTATAAGATAAATTAGGAAATCTATTGACATAACTTCGGCCCCGTCGAATATCACATAAGCAATACCAATAAGTTGAATATGCACCGAGACCTTCATGCAATAACTGTTTTATTATTCAAAAGCCATACATTTACGTAAATTTCAGAATTTTTTCATGAGGTTCTCTATGCAGGAAAATAGTAAAACAAATGAAAAAAATAGGTAACATGTTTATACGTATATTAAACAATTTTAGTAGAAACAATCATTTTTCTTGAGGTATTTGTTAGCTGAACGCTATTACATGTATTTGTTTCTTGACAATAATAACTAGTAGGGATGATATTAAAGGTTTTTTAGAGTTTCCTCATTTCCAAAAAAATAAGCCTTCTTATACCCAAGCTTTTGTTAGAAGATGTCCGTTAGAGTAAACCGTACGGTAAAATTTTTGTTCAGCTTCTGAATACAGGTGACTTTTAAGGCATACATCTGACCTATGTTGTTTTTTTTTTTCAATTCCTTATAGTCCCGTCTTATGCTGCTACTATCAGCACGTCAATGAAAAAGTGATTTTTCTTTTTACAGTTAACGGTTCTTATTTTGGAAATAAGATGAAAATATATTATTGTTGTCGTAGGTGTTTTTACTGCTTTACAGTGAATGTTTGACTACGTCTTATTTCTGTATGATGTTTTGACTTTCCGTATTTTACTTAATATGGAAGTTATTATTGTTTGTTTGTTTGCTGATGATATCGCCTAGTTTGTGTTTGATTTGTTGATTGTTTGTGATGTTTTATATATTGTATATTTGTTACCATATTTTTATGCTTATATTGCTTCACTTATTCTCGACTTATATATATAGAATTCTCGACTTATATGCAAATTTACGATCATTTTCTTTGTTAACACTTTATTTAATTAAAATGTCATTCATTTTGTAAGATTGTTTTCATCGAATCAAAGTGTTAAGATTGATGATAAATAAAAGTCGTTCACGTTCTTTTTTACTTATTCACAAGATAACAAATAAAATTTAACAAGAAAATATTTGTAATGTTTTACAAAAGATGTTATGTCTAACAACATCTGAGAATTACCTTTTCATTCAGATTATGTACATTGTTCCTTTATTCATAATATTTTAGGTATAATATGTATATTCTTTTGTATAATAGCATGTGAAACATTTTTCAGATTCCTTTAGATTTATATTATGTTTGATGTATCGGAATTGTTTACGCCATTCATATGTACACGCAGTAGAAACTGCGTCACTGTTTGTTTGATATCTTGTCACGTATGTTATTGATAACTGTTACTGAGTTAGTTGAACACGTAACGGAGTTATCCTGGTTATTTGCGAATTTCGTTTAATACTTCTGTGAATAATAAAATCTCTACAAATGGTTGGTTGTAATTTATCTTCAATGCTTAAAAGAAATGATTAAGTTTGCCAAATACAATTGCTATCTAATATAGAAATCAACTCCCCTTCTACGAATCCGAGTCATTCTAATTTAGATATAAAATTAATAGCTTATTCATATACGAATACATGTATGTATGTACCTTAGTATTCAAGATGTTTCTTTCATCATATATAAAGTAGAATAATTTTGTTAAACTTCAGACGTCAGAATATATATTTATACCTCTTTTTTAGTCAAATGTTACGGAATTATATCTCTGAAACTGCTATGAACATTCTTTGATAAGGTACATTTTACCTATTTCACATCTTCTATTTGAAAAATCCTTACGTTGCAGATCATACAAAGGTAATTTAAATTATAATTCAAGGATCAAATATGGTTAAACCAGATAAAGATCTTGTAAGCAGAAGTGTAGTGATACGTAATTAATGTATCGTATATCAATGACATTTTGTTTCTTGTGTACATATGGTGATTTTTGTAAAAAAAAATGAAAAATTTTGTTACAAATCTCAGACATTAGATGTTCAAAATGTGTATTAACCTAACGGATTTTTGCAATGTTTGTTCAAACCATCATCTAGGTTTCCAATCAGCCATGTCCTACGGATAACTTGATATTATATGCAGTCACAAAGGAAATGTTGTAAAATCATCTTTCTTGTTTCTGTCATTTATATATTTTATGTGTACCATTGTATAAAGACATTTTCTTAATTATGTGAATATTCATTTTTTGACTGATATTTATATATATTTTTATAGTTCAATGTATATTACATGGACATCTACACTCAATATGGGTTTCAACTTTGAGTCACGATAACCATGAATTTTTGTTTTGTTTAAATGACATCATATTAAGCATGTAGATAATGTAAAAACACTTCTTTTTGTGTCACCCGCCACGGAGTACCGGCAACGTAGGTATCTCTTCCTCGTCGTTTGTTTATAAGTCCGTCTGTTACAAAACTTGTCTGGACTACTCAAAAACTGCTGGTGCAATTTCATCCAGTACATACAGTATCAAGTCTTGTTATGCATAGCATCGACTTTTTCCAGTTAAATGATCTTTTTCACTTATCACCTCTTAATGATTTTTTTTTGTAATTCTTAAAGTTTGTCCGGACTACTCTTTTACCTGAGATGCAATATATATTAAACTTTACAGGAATGATCGGTAGCTTCAGTACTTGCTCAAATTAAACTTGTTTATCGGTTGAAACATTTTTGGCCCTTAAATAAAAAAACGGTTTTGGCTCGTTAATGATTTTTGTGTTGCCTGCTACACCGTAGTGGATACATGTTACGAAGTATTTCAATTAAAATATTTTTGACTTGGTTATGGCCCTTGAATGAAAAAAGCGTTTTGGCAATTTGATATTTTTTGTGTGTGTCATGCTATACAGTGAAATATAGGGAACACTGGTCAGTCGTCCCATAAATAGAACTGCTTAATTTTTCTATCATCAGGCGACATATTAGATCACAGGTCGCTTTTGTTTTTTGGTTGGTTCCTTGGCTTTAACTATATTATGTTAAGCTAACAAGCTAACAATTCCTTCAGCGTCATTGTTTGTTGGTAAAAACTTTAACCAATTGAGCGATATTTAAAAGATATGTAATGTTCATGATATTTTAAATTTACTGTTTAAAATGTTGATATAAACTTATCTTGTTTATAGATAAGAATTTAACTTTTCTTAACTTTGTTAATATTTATATACTCATTTTTCTTTTAATATATGTGTTATGCTCTATATTCCAGATGTTTGTTTTTAAAAATATATTCTATCTATTTAATCTTTGTAAAGGTATGAAGTTATGAAACATACTGAAATTATTACTATCAAGATAATGTGTAAGCTTTTGCGTTCATCATTATGTAATAGAAAGCAGATATAACTCTTACAGTTTTGTCTTTTTAATTTTGCTTATCATTGAATGTTACGTCCCCTTTTATGCATGCAAGTAAGTTCCGTTAACTTCTAATAACTGTTATTAGCTATAACCTAAAAATAGAATGTATATCATTTCTTTTATATTTGACTGAAAAAAATTTGATTATGATTTTCATGCTACATTTTTACTTAAAGATGAAAGTGTTGACCTTCTGTCCTGAAGTGGTACCTCATTCAGGACCTTAAAGAAGTACCAGTTTCCAAAAATAGTAGGAAGAAATGTCGGGGTTATCTCTCCAACAAGTATATTTATTTTGAATTTACATTTTTTTTTGTGAAACCTATAAACTTTGCTATGCTGCCTCAGTATTATTCTTTCTTAGTTTAATGTAGTTTTTATTGCAAACGCTATTTAATGTAGTGCATATTTATCCAGCATACTAGACTCACGTAATTTTGAAATTACCATGACGTCACTTTTGTGCCAGTTAAAAAACACTTGCCATTTTTTCTTTTGTGTTTTTACTGTGAAAACGCCTATATTCTGTTACACAATCATAATTGTTGTTTATAAAAGGTTTGTAATCTTATCATGAACTAACAGCTAATTGACAATAAATCATAGGTTAACTGTATAGATATAAATAATAGAACACAGGGTGGCCATACCTCGTAATGTGTGACGTGTTTTAATTGTTTAAATGATTTTTGTCAGATGAAAGGTAATAAATGAAATTATTGAATACAAACAAACAACCGATATAGTGAGATAGTGTAAGAACATCGTCTGATATTTG